TCCCGGGGGGTCCCTGCCTCCCTGCTCTGACTTTGGCCGCTCATCCGTACGGACGGGCAGCGCCGTGGGGCTCAGCCTCCCCCCCAGGGTTATGATTTTCCCTTCCAGAGCTGGTGCAGAGACGGATGCACCGGTCCCGAGTGCCATGGAAGAGTCAAAGAGAAAGGTAAGTCTGATGTTCCAGTGGGGTTTACGGCGCTTAGAGCACTGGGGCTGGAAACACAGCAGCTCTCAAACAGGCCTGAGACTTGCTGCTGGTAACGGCCACAAAGGGGCACATGGAAGCCCCAGAGGAGCTGCAGGAGGGGGTCAGAGCTGTGGGGCACGTCGGAGAGGGCTCTGCTCACAAAACTCCTTTGACTCCCCATCTTTTCTGTGCTACTGTCGTGCTGAGTTTAGAATTACAGCAAATGGCAGAAGCAGAAGAGAGGAAATCCCCAGCACACAGGTTGACTTTGCCACCACTCACTGATGAGGACAAGAAGAAGAAGAAAGGGGAGAAAAACAAGCCAGGTTGGGAGAGATTCCCTTACACATTGCCTTGCTGTCCCTTTTGCATCAACCCGGTGCTTTCTGCTGGAAGATACTGAGCACAAGCCACAAAAAGAAAATTATCCAAGGGGACATGCTGAGAATAAAGTGGGAGAACTAAAAAAGGCCGGGAGCGCTTTGTAGGCTTGGCTCTAACTGCAACCGGCTTTTGCTGGGGCTGCAGAGGGTTTGAATTCAGTTGTTCCTTGTATTTCCCTCAGGCACATATGACAGGAGAGTGTGGATGTAAGTTGTTCAAGATGGACTATGACATAGGCACAGACCTTTTTCTGTTGTTGTTTCACCAGTTGTGTTTATGCTGAGTATAAAAGACCAAAACCACCCTTCCTTTCAGAGACATCGTCATCCCAGGAGAAATACACAAGTTTTACTGAGAGGAAGTTAGAACTCAGGAAGGCTGAACTAGCTAAAATGTTGGAAGAGATCAAAATGACCACAGTAAGTGCCACAGATACCCAGGTGTAGGCAGCAAATCCACAGTTACCCCCATCTGCCTTTATGGAGGAAATTCTAGCAGTCTGACTCACTCTTGCAAAATGGCATGTGTTTATTTATTAATACGCTGGAGGTAATTATGCTGCTCTGCTTAATGCTGTGAAATCTAACCTTGATATTTTCTTTTGAGAAAAACTAAAAGAAACTCAGAGAGGATCTAGGCTGTAGCAGTAGGATTTAGGAATTGTGAGCTGTTAGAAAAGACTATGGGTATCAGATTTTCTCAGGGTAGCAAAGAGAAGGTGGGGTGGAGGACATGGCCACAGCTTGTTAGTAGGTGGAAGGTAGTTCTAAAAGAGAAGGTGATCCTGCAGCTGGCAGTAAGGAAGGTGAGAGCAGGGCTGTGCTGTGTGTGGGGAGTCAGAGCGCCTTGGCAGCGAGACTGCTGTTACCGTGGGACGGGAATGTCCCCAGGCTGCTAAGAAAACTCAGGGCTGTTGTGAGTGGTGGAATCTGCAACAATTTAATCTGCCAGTTCCCATAGGATCTGACCAATCTGCAGAAAAATGCCATCGAGGAGCTGAAGCAGTGCAGCGCCTGCCTGGTAGAGACCAACTGCTGGCTGGTGAAGGGCATCCAGCACACGGATGACAGCACTGCCAGGCAAGCCAGGAGCCTGCTGCAGCAGTATGAAGTGTTTCAGGTGAGGCTTAGGGGTTGACTGACAGACTCAATTCAGCAGAATGCGAAACTTCCCGTTACCTGCTAGCGCTGGGGAAGGGTCAGGCACTGACCACCGAGTGTGACTGGCGCGTCCCTGGTCCTGGGGGGAGCTCTCTGATGCCCGGACATCCTGCAGGGTGCTCTTGGTTTGTGCCCGTGTTTTACACCCTGACTATAACTGTCCTAAGCAAGAGTAATGACCCCTGTAACAGCCCAGATCCATCCCTCCATAACACCCGTGGCTCCAGCTGGCTCCTGAAGCACCGCTCTGCTCCCCAGAGCAGTTCCCCTGCACGAGCTGGCACCGGCTGCAGCGACAGATTCCTCTGTGCTGCTAATCTGAGCAACAGCACGAGAGAGGAAGGTCAGGGATGGCGCAGGGGGACGTTTCAGAGCTCCGTGGAATGAGCAGTGACTGGATTTCTCCCCGTGCAGAGGGAGAAGGTGATATTGCAGACCTCCAACCAGAACCAGCTGGATGCAGCAAGGGCAGAGCTCCAGGAAATGGAGAAAACAATGGAAAATAATCTGGGAAGTGAGTTCCACACATCGCTGTGAAATGCAGCCTATACAACCCTGCTAGCTTTGCTTTCCATCTTATTAGGTTAAAGACAGTGTGTTGATCTTATAAATGTCAAACAATTCCATTTCTGAAAGCGAATCCTGTTCGCTCTCTGCGGCTGATCTTTCTGTCAGCCTGTCAGGAGGGAGAGAGCCCGGTGATGCCTGGTGGCCTCTGCCCAGGGGGTCGGAGTTGTCGCTCCGTGGTGGCTGTTTGCATCGTCCCATTGGGGCAGGGTCTGGCTGAGGGGGTCTGACTTGGGGCCCTGTTCCCACTTCTCTCAGGAAGTGTAACCACCATAGAGAGAAGGGCTCAGGCAAATGCAGGACAGGCTCCTTAGCAAAGAAATAAAGCTCTGGAACCCCTGGTTTGAGATTTTCTCTTTTGTGTTTCAATCAGAGCTACAGCAGGAGCTGGATAAAGTCACATCAAAGGTCCAAGTTCTCCAGGACGAGCTCAGCGTCCTGCGGCCCTACATCGACGGGCAGTATCCAGAAGGAGCTGTCCACATAGTCCTTCTGCAGAACAACATCCAGAGCCTGAAGAAGCTGAAGAAGGTGCCACACAGTGTGGCCAGGGAGGAAGGAGAGGGTAGGGGAGGAAGGGACAAGATCGTCATCTTGCCTAATGCCCCTGCTGTTTCTGTGCGCTGCTTCCTGCCCTTCTCAGGAGGAGACAGAGAGGACAGAAGAACTGGTGAAGGCTTCCTTGGAGGAAGTGAAAGAGAAGGCGCAGGAGGAACAAAAGACACTACTACAGAAAGTCGTGGAGGTTCGTGAAGTTTATGTGACCTCTCAGCAAGGGGGACTGGTTTTTGGGAGCTGGATGACAGGGCAGGGGCTGCCACACGTTGTCCATTAGCAATAGCACAGTGCAGCCAGCACCCAAAGAGTGACAGAGCATCGCTGCTCCCCTCCTGCTGCTGTACTGGATCTGGGAGGGTACGTCAGGAGCCCTTCTGTGTTGCTGCTGGAGTCTGATGCATTGAAATATTCTCAGACTCACTCTAGAGTTTGCCACGTGGAGGTGAGTGCATGGTGACCCAACATTCACCCTGCTTTTACGGTCCCTGTTTTATTACATTATTTAGGTGGCTGCTTCGCTAATTGGCTGTGACACCGCTGTGGCAGTGCACATATGTTTGTAATAAATTCATGAGGAAATTAAACTATATGCAGCACTACAGAGCAGGGACTGCTGTCGTTCTTCTCAAAATAGGATGAACTCCTGTTGCAGAGCTCCTGCTCGCAGCATACACTCAGTGCTTTTCCTGGGCTAGCAGCTTGAAAGCACTAAGAAAATATTAATTCCTGGCTTTGTTTACAGCCTGCTCTGGTGCAGGGCCCTTCTGCAGGTGAATTTGTAAGCGCAGGTGGTATGTTACCAAAGGAATATTAATAAGCTTTCCTTGGGAAACTGAACTGAGTCTCTTGAGCTTGTCAGTCTTATGCCATGATCAGCACAGTGTGGTCTCACCCACAGTCTCCTTCTAGAGGTGGAGCCTGAACCTTGTTTGAGAAGAAAGTGTTTTCTTGAAGGGTGATGCGTTTGGACGTGGCCAGCAGTGGCACCTGGCAGTGGCAGGGTTTCACTCCGGTGGTCATGGAGTTTCTTCAGCTGGTTTTCCTCTCTGCTCACACAGGAGATGTTGCTGCACCAGGATGGCCTGAAGCAGATGGTGATAAACAACCATGCTCTGCGATGTAACATACTGAGGCAAAAGAAGGTGAGTGAGCTGGGGAAGCACCAGCAGCAGAGCCAGCCACCCTTGGCCCTTGCCTTTCGTGAGGATTTTGTCTGCCCTAGCAGGGTTCGTTGCCTTCCATTCCCGCTGGCCTCAGTGAGCTCTCAGGACATCCAGCAGGTGTATCAGGAAGCCACTTAGAGGCTTACTTGCACGAGGGATGTTTTCCAGCTCTGCTCTTTGCAAGATCTTAAAAACCTTAGTTCCTGCTTCTGTTGCAAAGTAAAGTCACTTGTTCGGATTATCAGGGACCTGGAGAAGGATATTGGTGAGCTGAAGAGAAGCATCCACACGCTCCGCCAGAGTGCGAGAGACCCAAGAGAGCTGATCTTTGCTGACGTTGTTCTCTGCAGACCGAAGTAAGGCTGGTTGGGGGAAGGCACAGCCCTTTTTCTGTGGCCTTGGCCTGCAGAGTCCTTGGCGTTGCGTGCTGATAACCTTACCCCATCATTTCCACTTAAACTGTTAAACCTACCCCCAGCCCAGTGTACAAACCCACGGGGTTCTGCTCAGGAAGATGGCTCCAGAGTCTCGTGGTCTTGCCTAAGAGCTGCTGGGAACTAACCACGGCTCTAACGCTGATCCTTGGTCACATCCCATCTCTTTTCTGGGCTTCCCTTTGCCTGCAAGAGGAGGTTATGTGTGGCTGCAGTCAGGGAGGGTCAGGACCAGCAGAGTTTTCAAGGCCCTTGTACCTGCACCAACTCTTAATTTATTGTCGTTCTCGCTTCATGGCTGGGAAGCAAAACTGAGGGGACTCACGAGGAGCATCCCTGTCGAGGCAGTTCTTACCCATCTAGAGCCACCTGGTGTGAAGTGGCACCAGCGCTCTGTGAGAGCAAAGACAGGCAACTATTTCCCTAATAAGTTAAAAAAAATTGTGTTGGCGGTGTTGGCCAACGGCAAAAAGGCAAAACTTTGTTACTTTTCTCAGGGCTTTTTCCCTGCCCCAGTTTTCTGGCAGCCAATTACTTCCCGAGCAGAGGTTGTGGGTAATCCCCACTCTGGTTTACCAGCATGTGCCAACACTGGGTGTAGGAATTACAAAGCCTAAGGTGAATCCTTGCCTAGCGTTGGTGGGGAGAAAGTCCTGCAAGCTAAATCACAGGCTCCTCTCTCCAGGGACAGACCCAGACAGGCCAAATCTGTGGGCTGAAGCGTACCAGCAGCCAGCCCTCACAAGTTTTTCTCCACCTTCCCACGGCAGGCTGGAGGCCCCTTGTCCTGCAGCAGCAGAGTCCTGCCCGGGGCAGGGCAAATCACCAAAGAGATTTAGAGCTGCCGAGGTGCCTCAGGTTTCTGTGCTGCCTGCTGACCAGGGGTACAAACCTGAGAGGGAAAAATAGTTCAGACGCGTTTAAAACTCAAGTGTGCTGCAGCCTGAAACCTGCAATTGTGCGCTGAACGGCGTGCGTGCGCTTATTTAGAGCAACCGCCTCTACAAATTATTCTTGGCACAGAGACGTCTACTAAGGGAGTTGTTCCCTCGCCGCGCGTCCCGCAGGTGCCTGCAGCTCCTCCTCACCTGCACGCTGGGGTCGTTTTCCGTGAAAATGTTCATCCCTTGGGATGAGCAGATGCTCACCAAGGCAAACTGGTGGCAGTGCAGGCGACAAGATGGGCTGGATTTCCCGCTCCGGGGTTTTTAGCTGGAAGCCAGGTACAGCTGCGGGGCTGCGGAGGCACAAGTCGAAGGAGGAGGAAAGCCTGGAACGCATCAGGATACAGTGAGGGGAGGCGAGAGGTCGCATGATGGATTAGTGTGACTTCTTTTTTTTTTTTTTTTCTGATTTAAAAAAAATGATGAAAAAAAGGGAATTAATTAGCCTCAGCAGCTGGTGGGGCCGGGGTTACTGAGGGTGGCTGGGAGAAGAGTTAAAAATAGCAGGAAGGCCCAAGTGGAAAGTTTCTGTAACATCACAAGTCAGGCATTTGGTGCTTACCCGCCCTGACAGGCGGGAGCCTGTGCCAGAGCCCTCTCCATCAGCCCTTTCCCACTGACCTCCCTGCAACTTTTCACACGACTTCACCAGTCCTTTTTTTTAATTATTTTTTTTTTCTGAGTAACCATTTGGTTCCAGACATTGGATTTGCTTCTTGAAAGAGGAAAATTGGACAAGAGCTGCGCTCGGCCTGGGATCATCGAGGTGTTCAGGACTCTTGCTGACCCTCTTTGCATTGCCACGTGCTGCTGGCAGCCCACTGCACCCAGAGGAGCTGTAATCCCCCACATAGCTATTTCCATTTCCCAGTTAAAACTCCTCTGGCTTCAAGGGAACCCCGATGCATTTCAGCAGCACCTTTGAGCTCGGTGCTAAGGGCGCTCTGGACGCACAGTTTGTCCCGGACTGAGACGGAGATGGATGAGCGCAGTCCCGAGTGAGCCCAGTTTGCTGCGCTTGTCCTCTCGCTGCTAGAAAGCAGATGCTGCTCCGACGGGCTTTCTCTGCTTCTGTTTATCCTTTGGGATTGACAGCAAGGGGCAGCTAATTTCACTCCTTCTCCCTCTCAGGGGTTACACATGGCTTTGCCTCTCTGGGAAGGCCAGCGAGCACCAAGCTCAGTCACAAGCACAGTGTGAGAGAGAGCTGTGGAGCAGGACTCAGCCTTGGAGCTGTGATCTTTCGTAGAAAGAAACCAGTGACCGGGATGGACTGTGAAGGGCGAGCCAAAAAGCAAAATTGGAGCTGGAGGTTGGGCTGCGCTCTAGTTCATCCCGAACAGGGGCTGCACAGGATCTTCCCCTCCTCCTCACACCAAAGTGCTGTGGTTTATCCCTGCTCTTTGCTTTGCCTCTTCTCACTCTCCTTTTGCTCTCAGGTGCACGCCAGACACCGAGGTGGTCCTCAACATCCCGGCCAAGGGGACGCTGCTCAGCTGACTGGGTTCTGCTTGCAGGCCCCATCACAATGATGCCGGAGGTGTCAAAGCT